TGTTTCAGCAGTAGAGCACGCGCAGGTTTCAGGAAGTGAATCAGACGATTCACTTGAATATGGACATATATCCCAATGAAACTCACTGTTTCCTGTTTGTAACTGTATTGAATTTTTAAATAACAGCAAGAAATCAAAATGCTGCTTTACCTCGTTTTAATGTTTTTCCAAAATGATATATTTGTACTTATTCAAAAATTGGTTTAATTTATATCCAATTTGATGTAAATCCATAAATTGATTATGTTTTTTTCTCAATCATGTTAGTTTTATATCGCGTTCATAATTATTCTTCTCCATATCATTTAATTAATCTGTTATTGCATTAATATGTTTGATAAGCATTTTTACTTGACTATCGATATAATCATTTGTATCATCTTTAATTTTTACCATTTCAGTTTGCAAAACAGTTTTTAGTTGATCAATAATTCCATAAACTCGAGATATTTCATTTCGCAATTCTGATTTTATATCTTCGTTACGTGTTCTTATCAGTGATTTTATATGTTCATTCACAGTTTTGATTGAATTGTCAACATATTTTTTTGTAGTCGTATCTTTACCATTTATCGGATCCCTTAAATTTATAAGTTGTTTATGTTGATCTGGTGATATTAGAAACCCGTTTGCATATGAGTGATTATCTTTTATCTTTTCGTATGGAGTATAACGAATACTATGACCGAATTTGTCAACTGTCATTTTATAAATGATTAAATTTATTATTCAATTATGTTAGTTTTTCTTAGCTCTTCAATAATTGAATTTATCTCGTTATTATGATTATTATTTCCTGCTGTTTGTGACGCAATTAGGAGTCTTAATCTATCTACTAATTCATTCGGATCATCCCAATACGTATATTGTGCAGGTTGTTTTGAATACAGCATTGAAGATGTTGTTGGATATACTGATGAATTTTTATTTGTGTAAGAATTTCCTGTTTTCTTCTTGAATATCGTATTATAATCATGATCAAATAATTCACGTATAATATTTTTATATTTATAACTTTTCTTTCCTTTGATTTGCTCCAACGGGTTATAGTTTCGCCTATGTGCATTTGTCTTTTCTAGAATTTTTTGGTATTGTTTCAAATCTTTTGCATTATAATTTTGAGATTTTTTTTTGAATATAAAACTAAGTAGGCCCTGAGTTTGTTCAAATACTTCGTCATCAATTATTATATTATGATTATTTTCATCGATATCGAATATTGATTTACCTGGTAATGGTTGTGAATTTGTTTTTGTTGTTGCCAAGTTATCATTTTGCGCATCTTCAAATGTATTAGGAGTTGACGTCACAAAACTTTCGAATTTCAAATGAGTGTTCTTGTTTTGAGTGTATGTTAAATTATATGAGTCATCATTATTACTTTGAATTTCTTTTTTGATTTTTGGCTTGATAAGAGATTGGGATTTCACAATATTATGGATTTCCGGTTTAACTTTCGGTTTGATGTTTCACAATATTAGTTAATTTTTCAATTGGTTCTATAATTGGTTTGAATTTTTCTTCTAAATATTCCTCCTCTGCTATTTTACCTGCTTTGTAAATCTTTTCTCGTTTTAATTAAATCTTTCAAAACTTTTTCATTAAAAGGCTTAACCGCTGCCATTGAACTGTAACAGAACTGCTGTTGAACTGAAACTGAACTGCTATTAAACTGCAACTGACCTGATCAGTACTGTTGCTGTTGTTATGTTGATCTATTGCTGTTGTTGATATGTTGTTGTTGTTATTGTTCTTGACATTTATAGTTGAGGATACTCTTCAAAATTTCTTCTATAACGACCGCTATTTAAGGGTTTATCTTTATTAATAGTTAAAAATCCGTAAGTATTATTCCAGCAATGTGAACAGAGATCTTTGAATTTTTCAAAAGACATATCTGCATTAATATGATCGTTATAAATATGTTTCAAATTTAAGTCATCTTGCTTAAATATTACTATAAATCTCTTATCAGGTGTTTGGGAATTCTAGTATATGATTGACATAAATAGAAGCTGTGCACATCTTGATGTCGACCCATACAAAAATATTCTCTCACGCTATCTTGTTTATCACATGCAACATCATCAAATATGAATATTGAATCTCGTTGAGATTCTGAGGGTCTAAGTACATCTAAATTATTTGAAAATTCATTGTATCCCATTCCTTTAATAGGTTTTATAACTTGTTTTAAATACTGATATTTTGGTTGTTGTAACGATTTTGAATATATGTATATATTTTGAAATTTAAGCCCATTAGGGTCTAATAGCATGCTTAACATATCGTTCGTTTTACCACAATTAGATGGGCCAACAATTAAACCTCGAATACTGTTTGGTAGTATTTCTTCATGTTTATTGCATTGTTTTATATTGAATTTCCGATCAAAATTCTTAACACATATTGTCTCACCTTTTTTGATAAACTTCATATTAATTACTAATTAAATTTTAAATGAAAAATTATTTATATATAAATGGATTATGATCGATTTCATTAGTTCTAAAGAGAAAATGAAAAAGAGAGGTGGTTTTTTAAATTCCATAATTAATAAGTTACCATTTGAAGCTCATTTACCTGGATATAATTATTGTGGACCTGGAACAAAACTTAAACAACGATTAGAACGCGGAGATAAAGGTGTAAATAAATTAGACGAAGCTTGTCGTGAACATGATATTGCATATTCAAATAGTAATACTATAACTGATCGTCATATAGCCCATAAAATATTAGCAGAGAAAGCTTGGCAGAGAGTTAAATCTGGTAACTCAATTTTAGGTGAAAGAACAAACGCATTTCTCGTTACAAACGCAATGAAAGCAAAAGTTAAACTTGGTATGGGTTGTAAAAAGAAAAACAATAAAAAGAAACCATTAAAAAGAGTAATACAAGAAGCTAAAGTAGCTATTAAGGGATATAAACCTACGAAGTCAAAAGATACCATAAAAATTGCATTAAAAGCTGCTAGAAATATAAGCAAAAATAAGAAATCAATAAAAATACCACGCATCATTCCTATTCCTAAAACTAGAGGTATTCTAACATTAATTCCAATATTTGCTGGTCTATCAGCAGTTGAAGCTCTTGCAGGTGGAGCTGCTGGAATAACTAAGGCTGTTAATGATGCTAAAAGTGCTAAAGAGCAGCTAAAAGCAAGTGAACGTCATAATAAGACAATGGAAGCAATAGCGTTAAAAGGTAGAGGATTACATTTGAAACCGTATAAACAAGGGCTTGGGTTATATTTAACGCCGCCAAAACACCATTAAGTATGCTACCCAAAAGAGCTCTAACTGATGATGATTTGAGAGATTTTGGAAGAAAAAATTTATATTACTTCCGTGGGGTATTCATGAGAGATAAGCTTTCTAAAACTAAACCATAAAAACGCGAATGTGGAATCATAAATTTAGATAATTCATCTGGAGATGGGACTCATTGGGTGGCATACTATAAGAATTTAAAAGATATACGATATTTTGATAGTTTTGGAAATTTAAAACTACGAATTGAAATTGTAAAATACTTGGGAGATAACCTTTCATATAATTATAATACGTTTCAAAAATTTAATACATACAATTGCGGTCATTTATGTTTAAATTTTTTATCTAATTGTAATTAAAAAAAAAGAAATAAAGAATTGTACTGAATATTTTTAAGTTCAAGGTTGTTTTTTCTATTCGCTTTACGCATTTTTTGTAATCATATGTTTATGTGAGTCTTTATTTCATTCTAGTTTTAATGAAAAGAAAAAAGTGAAAAATCGCTATGAATAATTTTGAGAAGTTATATTCGCTTTATTTATGTTTTCTTCTTTTTTTTGCAATCATATGTTTATATTATATAGGTTAAAATATTTATGAATAATTTTAAGTTCAAGGTTATCATAAGTTTTAAATATTCTATTTTCGTTTTACATACCGTTTTTGTAATCATATGTTTATGATTTCGAAATAATTTGAGTTGAAGTATATAGTATGCTTAATATTTTTATTTATATGCAAATGTATAACGTAGATATGCATAAAAATTTTTTATGAGATATAACCTTATATAAGACAATGGATGTTCATTGATTAGTTTATTGATTAAAGATAAACCATGTCAATAACATTAACTTTGAACGGTAACACATCTACTCTGACTACAGAATATTTCCCTTCAATAAACTTAAAAGGAGATTATATATGTGCTCTAGTAGATTTTCAAACGTATAACTCTATTCCCAACATAGATGAAGAAAATAATAAATCTATCATTGGTAATAACTAATAATAACTGTTGTTATTCCTACAGGCTCTTATGAAACTGAAGATATTGAAAAATTTCTTCTCCATAAATTGGAAATATCTAACACCAAAACGGAGAAGGAAAAACTAGTAATTAAGCCTAATAACAATACGCTTCAGTGTGAAATATTATCTACAAAAGAAATTGATTTTGAACAAGATAATACAATTGGAGAACATTAAAAGCAAAGTAGGAGAAAATTAAAACCAAACAAATGACACTCATCAGATTTACCTGTTGATATTAACAAAATTAATATTATTAGAGTTGAATGCAATATTATTAATGGAACATACATTAACTATCATGATGCTCATATTTTACATGAGTTTTCCATTGGCATGCCTCCAGGTTATAAAATAATAGAGGTTCCGCAAAATCTCATTTATTTACCAGTATCTGTCAAAGAAATCAGATCGATAGTTATTAAATTAATTGATCAAAACGGTAATTTGATTAATTTTGGAGGCCAAACCATAACTGTGTGGTTACATCTTAAACAGCAATAAAATGATAATATATGACAGTAACTATCAGAATCCTTATAAATATTTAATAAATACAACTCATCAGTTTAATAAAGCACCTGCATTAAGAGAAGAAGGAGCTCGTGGCTATAAAAGAACTGTAACATTGGAGAGACAACAGTTTTTAAAATCTATTGGTCTTAAATTAAAGAAGTTCTAACAAAAAAAAAAATGGATAAATTATTTGATAATCCTGTTATTGAAGATAGCATAATAAGTGCACATTTCCATACATATTCACCATTTTTAAATTCATTCAACAAAAGTGATATAATTCGCATACAAATACAAACTCAAAATTTAAATATAATGCCATCCACTAGTTTGCTGTATATTGAAGGCACAATTTCAAAACACGATGGAACTGAAACAACACACACAAAGTTAACTAACAATGCAATTCCATTTTTATTTGATGAAATACACTACCAATTAAATGGTAAGGAAATCGATCATATTAGAAATGCCGGTATAACAACACGTTTGAAAAGAGCTCTATATAATACAAGTTGGTCACCTGACGAAGGAGTTGAATCAGCAACACTATTCTTCAATTTTTGCATTCCATTTAGAAAACTTTTAGGATTTGCTGAAGATTACAAAAAAATTATACCGAATGCAAAACATGAATTAATATTAGTACGTTCAAGGTCTGATGATAATTCTCTCCTTTGTACCGATATTAATGAAAAACCAAAAATTTTATTAACAAAAGTGCAATGGAAAGTTCAACATATTAATTTGACAGATGCAGTTAAATTAAAATTGTATCAGAACATTAACGATAGTAATTCAAAAATGATATTAGCCTTTAGAAATTGGGATTTGTATGAATACCCAACTTTACCGCAAAATACTGATCAACAGATTTGGAACATTAAAACAACTTCACAAATTGAAAAACCGCGTTACATCATATTTGCGTTGCAAACTTACAGAACAAATCAACTTGATAAGGATGCATTTAAGTTCGATCATTGCAATGTGAGTGATTTAAAAGTTTACCTAAATTCAGAGGGTTATCCATATGAAAGTTTAAATTTACTATTTGGAAGAGACCGCTATGGAACTGCTTATGAATTATATTCAAGCTTTCGAAATAATTGTTATAATTATTCAATGCCGGAATCGGAACCTCTACTAACTTGGAAAGAGTTTAAGAAAAATGCTATGATTTTGATAACAGATACACGTTATCAAAATGAAAGCTTAAAGTTTTAGCCAGTCGATGTGAGAATTGAGATGAAATTTCCAGAAAAAATACCTGCAAATACTACAGCCTACTGTCTTTTATTACACGATCGATTAGGAGAATACTACCCATTAACCGGAGAAGTTAACAAAATTAATTAATAAAAAAACTAAATGAATACTAATAATACTACGTTAATATCAACCAATATTGATTTGAAATCTTGTTGCATATATAATAATATCCATGAATTTATTGCTGAAATAATTTTTATGATTTTCTTGCACATAATCAAAGAATAAAAAATAACTTAATTATTAAAATGAATTGTAATTTTTATAATAATGAATAATAAAAAATATTATGAAATTGATAAAAGTTTTATTTTGAAAGAAATTGCAATTTTATCATCGAATAATGAAATACAGCATTTTATTATAAAACAACCATACAGTTACAATATTCTCACATCATACAAATAAATGGCTAACTAATAATCATCATGGATTCAGATGGGATGATGGTGAAACACATTTTTGTGATGTTGTCAATATGCTAAAAATATATATAAGTACAGATATATGTATATATGTGAAAGGTGGAGAAAAGAAAAAATGGATTACTAATCTTTTTAAACGAAATATCATAATTGACTTAGATGATGAACATGATTCAACAAGTCTAAAAACATTAAGACGTCAACACAACAAAAATTTTCAACGATGCTCATTTCAACATGATGGATTTTGCTCACATCAAAATGTTTATTTATTAAAAACGATTATTAACAAACAAAAATGCTGATTGAATTCTTTTAATTCATACAACTACATACATTGCCTATAGAAGAATTTTTATCATATGAATCAAATCAGATTATTGGTATTAGCTTCATTTTAAAATTAAAAATTGAATAAGTAACACCAGAAATATTTAAAAAGAACAAATTATGGGCAACAACAATAAAGCAACGGATAAGAAGTATCAAGATTACAAAGGTGGATCGAAATCAAGAACATCGGTTTTTGATTTTAATTAACAATTAACAATTTAGAATAAAAAAAAAAATAAAGCATTTTACTTTGTTTCTATTAGCTTTCAGGCCTGATCAACAAAAAAAATCGTGTTTTAATCAAGTGTAAACATTATGTTGTGGTTACAATAATTGAAAAAATGCAAAAGCGTTTTATTATGTTAAAAATTAAAATGAAATTTCAATTATTTAACTGTAATCTATTGGAAAACATTTGGCGAATAATAATATTTTTTATGATGCTATAAAAGTAGAATACTTCTTTTACGTAATTATTCTCCTATAAAAGGGGAAGGTTATTTTAATAATTTATTATATATTACTTGACCTTCTTTAGTTATACTTACATAGTCTACAAATAAAAAAAATAAAAAGAAAAAATGCCAGATTCATCTTTACGAAAACTAAACGAATTAAATAGATTACCAGAATATCAAACGAGAAAAAAAATAGAGTTGACCTTGTCAACTCTGTGATACCCGTACGAATTTGTTATCCTATGTGCGAATAACTAATGTGCCATAACTAACTATGGGGCAGACTATGACTTTAAGTTGCTGTATTACCATATTAATTTATGCAAAATTTCAGTACTATGTGTTATTCAAAATATTGGTTGTGCCAAACTACTATTGATGTTGTATGGCAGCTACCAGAAAGAGCCAAGAAATTTTAGCGAATTTTATCAAGCACATCGGCCCTACTAATATATTCACTTGTGTGAAACCTCAATATCACAGCTTTTATAGTTTTTGAGATATATAGTCAAATAACTTTTGAAGTTGTATGGCAGGTACCAGAAGGAGCCAAGTAATTTCAAAGACTTTTATGAGACACATTGGCCCTACTAATATATTCGTTTGTGTGAAATTTCAATACCATAGCTTTAATAGTTTCTGAAATATAGTCAAATAACTTTTGAAGTTGTATGGCAGGTACCAGAAGGAGCCAAGTAATTTCAACTACTTTTATGTGACACATTGGTCCTATTAATATATTCGTTTGTGTGAAATTTCAATACCATAGCTTTAATAGTTTCTGAAATATAGCCAAATAATTTTTGAAGTTGTATGGCAGGTACCAGAAGGAGCCAAGTAATTTCAACGACTTTTATATGGCATATTGGCCCTACTAATATATTCGTTTGTGTGAAATTTCAATACCATAACTTTTATAGTTTCTGAGATATAGCCAAATAAATTTTGAAGTTGTATGGCAGCTACCCGAACCGGTACCCCGATTATGTCCAATTTAAATAGGGTTCTGGCACTTACTACAATAAATCATTTGTGAAAATTTGGTGAACTTAGCTCAATTAGTTTTTGCGTTATCGTTCGGACGGACGGACGGACGGACAGACAAAGCTAAATCAAATCAGAATTTGACGCTGATCAAAAACATACACTTGAGTAAGGCAAATTTAGTATACCCTTCGAACATACGTTCGTACGGGTATAAAAATGGTGGAATTGGAGATCAACAAAATTTTTAAAATTACTTCAGCAAGAAGGATAGCAACGAAATGGGGGGTAAGCATAACTTGCATGGTTGATAATACCTTCAACATATTTGTACCGTCACGCTTCAACACAATGAGTGCAAAGCTTCTGTCGAAGCTGAATAAAGGACTCTATGCTTTTAAAATAAGCAAAATAATTTTAAAAACGGTGGATTTAGAGTTCATCAAGATTGAGAATAGTGACAAATCTTTACTCGTAGGTGAGGACGAGGAGGAATATTATTCCGAAAACGATTCGGATGATGAAACGGAATATACATAATTATATTTTTAAAATATTCATATGTAAAAAAAAATAACCTACCTATTGTTTACATAATACGGACATAATAAAATTGTCTTACATGTGAAATTCGCATGAAAAAATGTTCGTGAAGGGATAATTTAAAAAGTCATCTTATGATTCACAAAAAGAATATTGAAAAAAGCGTAAGTTTGAATCAACTATAACAGAAAATTTTCCACCATCTTAGTGTAAAAAAGTAAATAACACTGAGTCTGAACCACATCAAGAAAATGTAAAGCCTGTCAGTCAGAAATTTCTACAAAAAACTGGCATCATCACATTCGGACGAATAAACATAAAATTAAAGAGGCGGTTCACGTTGATAAAAATTTAAAATGTATTACAAATTCGTTTCAAGGAAGAATTGTAACATATATTCGGGAAAATGATGACAATGCAAATGGGCTCTTACCCAAAGACTTTTTGGAAAATATTAAAGAAGAGTTATTCGCAAAACTGAAGGAAATGCTCGAAATTCACAACGCAGTAAAATTCAATTTGGAGCTGTACGGAAAATACGTCAAACCACATAAAATTGAGAACACTGATGGTTCGGAGGAAGACATTCAAAACTTGGAAAGCATCAAATCCTTCAACTCAAAGATGATAGTTGCAAATTCAACTCAGGTAGAGGAGTTTCAAGAGAAAGACAGCGGATGGAATTTGGTTGGATTAAGCTTTGTTGAGTTGAACATAGCTAAATATATTCCAATCAAAGGTGAAAACTTCATAGATTTACCGAAATTGCTAAAAAATAAAAAAGCATGCATTAATATACGCAATAAGGATTCATATTGCTTAAAATGGTGCTTGATACATATGCTATGCAAAAACATCAACCTCGTCATGCAGAACGCTGTTCATCTTATAATATAGATGATATTCAAAGTGATGTAATTACACTAATCGACTGCAAAGTAAGTTTTTTGAATTTCATCGATATCGAGTTTCCCGTTAAAATTGCTGATATTCGGAAAGTTGAAGAGCTTAATCCCTCTACGAGTATAAGTATAAATGTGTATGGTTATGAATATTTTAATAAAAACCAATTGCAAATCGTGGGACCATATTTTCACACAAAAAAAGAGAAACAAAATCATATAAATTTACTTCTATTGCAAAAGGACGACAAGTATCATTATGTTTGGATTAAAAACATATCTCGTCTAATTAGAAGTCAATCACAAAAGACAAAAGATCAATTAAAATATGTACCCAATGTTTACTATATTTTCAAAATCAAGAACTTTTAAAACAACATAAAATTAATTGTTCTGAGATTGTTACCAAGTTACCTGATTCAAGCAACAACATTTTACATTTTAAAAACTTTCACAAAAAAATCGATGTACCTTTCGTCATTTACGCCGATTCTGAAAGTACGCTGCAGAAAATGCAAACATGTGAAAATAATCCATCGGTTTCCTCAACATTGAATACAAGATTGCATGTGTCAATAGCATTTTCCTACTATATAAAATGCTCATTCGACTCATCGCTTAACAAATACAGACTTTTTACTGGTAAGAATTTACATTCTTTATATTTTATATTTATATCATTCTACATGCGAATTTATAAATTTGTGTGTTATTTTAGGAGAACATTGCGCTAAGTTATTATTTCTATCATTGACCAAAGATTGTCAGAAGCTGTTTCTAGATTATTTTACAACTGTAGAGCCGATGCATCCTATGACACACGCAGAGAAAATCGATTTTGAAGCTAGGAAGAACTGCCATATGGCCACACTGAACTGTGATATGGCCAGACCTTTTTCGGCTGATGATATTAGAGTGCAAGATCATTGCCATATAACTGGAAGATACCGTGAACCTGCTCATCAAGAATGTAATTTATATTATAAGTTAAAACATTTCTTCCCAATTTTTTTTCATAATTTATCCGGTTATGATTTACATTTACTTTTCAAAGAACTCAATGCAGTTCCAGGAAGTATCAAAATTATACCGCTTAATAAGGAAATACATATATATTTCCCTTACAAAAACCATTCAAGTAGGACCTAACATAACATTTGATTTAAGATTTTTAGACTCATCTAGATTCATGCCCAGTAGTTTAGAATCATTAACGAAAAACTTAAACAACAGCGATTTTGTAGAAACAAAAAGATTTTTCCTAATGATATTAAATTTTTACTTTTACAAAGAAAAGGAATTTTTCCATA